TTTTTTTTTTTTTAATTGAATCTAATTTTTTCTACATGCGGCAACTCATGGCTGGCACTGTAAAAATCCAGCAAGAGCACACAGCTGGTAGGTCACAAGCCTTACAAGATAACTGCTTTGCCAAATGGACAGAGCATTCAATTACTCTCCACGTAAATGTGTGTGTGTATACTCACATATGAGTGCAATTCTCAGCCTCCATTAAGAGACATCATTTTGCAATTGGTATCAGTTAATACAGAGGCGCACAACTGCTCAACCAGCAGTGACTGTGGAGTGCTCTTTCCTAAATGGACCTCTACAACCCCCTAAGGGAGGCTCAGGGGGCACCAGGGGAGAGGTGGCAGGAAGTCTGGGAGAGGGAGAAGTCAGGAAGGACTGCTGCAAACATGGCCTTTGCACTCAGGAGCTGGTAGCAGCTGTAGTTGCCTGGACAGGACCTTACATATTAAGCCAGTCAATGTTCCTACCTGGATGGAGGGGGTGGGGCACAGGAGTTCCCATTACTAGCTGAAGAGGTACTAGAAGTTGATAGCTACTAGGACAGGGAGTCTTTCCCCTCCCCATCCCTGCTATTTGGCTCCAGTGAATGGCGACACCCCCATGGACAATAAATGGTCCCAGTGGTAGTGGGTTTGAAAAACAAGTGACATGGAACTGAGAAGGGGAGGGTCTGGAGAGAGTTCGACTTGGGGAGGGAAGATAGCAGCAAACTGTACTGTACATATCTGTGAAAGTCCCAAAAACACATTTTATACAAATTGAAAACTATAGTTGGTGTATAAAAACAGAATTTTTCTAGAGAAGTCTCCCTGGACACCATGTATGTGTATTGTAGCAAACGCAGCTATGCAAATAGTTAAAGTTGAAGGTAATATGGTAAGCATTCTGGTAATTAAAATAATTAATTATATTTCAAAACTTATCTAATAGCTACATCAATTGTCACTGTGGAGATAAGACAAATGGTACTAAGGGTTCAATTTTATCCTGTGTATTACCAAAACCTCACAAATACCAAAGATACTGCATTACAAATCAGCATTTGTCATAAACCAGGGCTTTACATTTTACCCCCCCCCCCAGAGTATTTGCCTGGGCTCCTGACCTTAACAACAGTTGTTGGCCTGAGTGTCCCGACTAGGGAAAGAAAAGAAAAAAGTCTTGATGATTCCAGGACCTGCAAACATCCGAGGAAGGCATTTGAAGACTTTTTACTATGAAACTACAGAACTTTCGAACCAGAAGAGATGGTTACAGATTTCCTACGTCAACGACCTCATTTTTATTTTAGTGGCAAAACGTCAGGTTTGAGAGGACAGGGGCTTTGATGTGGTAGAGCTAATTAGAGAACAAACCAAGAGAACTCATCCTCTTAGTGTCCCCCTGCCCTTGGCAAACCATGCTGTTCCTTTGCTGACCACATGCCATCCATGTAAACCACCCAGACAAACAACTGAAGTGTTCCATATGACGAACACAAAAGAAGCCTTCGGAGACCCGGCCTATTTGCCTTCCCCATCAGTTCCGAGATGGAAGAAAAGTGTGAGAGTTATTCTGGACGTAAATTTGGTTCTGATAAAAGATGTGTTCACTAGTTTGCTGAAGAACTCGATAAAGAGGAAAAACTTTTCCAGCAACATGGAACCCAAACTGAAACAATAGACTGTGATCTTTGGAAAATCATGAATCACCTGTAGTGACAGTTTTCACAAATGATTGATTGTTCTTCACTTACTTTGGCAATGCTTGAAGTGTAATGTATCTTTAAAAGGCGAGGGTGTTTGCTGTTATGATTCATGCTACTATCATCTATAAAATGGGTCGAAAACTGAGTTCAAGTCACCTAAGGCGAGCAGTTCACAGTCTGCCCAAATCGTCTTTGACAGTATCAGCAGGCTTGAAGAATCTTGCCATTTTAGTTTCTTTACAATAAGGACATACGTTTTATGCCGTACCTTCCTTATCGGACGACTGAGGAGTGCAGACTACAGCTGCCGGAAAGCAAACATTGTTTCTTCTCTCCAGATGTCTGCTTTTTCTCCCAGAAGTTGGAGAGCATCGGACAAGCAATAACAGATGATGAACACATGCATAACTACAAACGGGCAAGCTGATTGTTTTCAGAGTCGCTGTAAACATTTGCTCTTGGGTTGAGATTTAGCTTCTAGCAAATCTTTACATTCTCATTCTAAACTCCAAACTAAAAAAAGGGCTTACAATGGAAGTGCTGACAATGTGAAAATTAAGTTATGGTCAGGAAAGCAGCTCTGTTTAAAAATGCCATTTTGCACTTCCATATTTACTTCCTAACCACTGACGGGGATGTAAGTTCCTCCAGTTTTCGCTCCCATTCCAGAGGGGAGTCTGACAATTGTGTTGAAACGAACAAGCAAGCTGAATTTCATCCTTTTGCCCCATCAACAAGTTACCATTAGAATTTAGAGACACATGCTGGTTACTTAGCTGGTTTCATGGGTGGTGGTGGTGGTGGTGGTGGCTGTGAGTTAGATCTGGAGAGGATTAAGTTCATTGCACAATACAAAGAGGTTTTTGCTTTTATGAAGCATTTGTAAAGGAAAGGGCAGCAATTATTAAGAAATACTTTCCACTCCATGATCTTGACTATGTCAAAACATGGTGACTACATTGACTAAGGGTATTAACTAAGGTCAGAAAAACTCCTTGACTTATTAATAAATGATTTGGTGGGACTGAAAATCTTGTTTGTACTCCAGTGTGGGCATGACAGTGACCCGAGTGGGCTGACTCAGCTGTCTATATATCTTTTTATATTAACAGAGCAACGTCCATCTTTTACAAAGATAGATCGCAAAGACTGCCTTTTTGTCCACTTCAAGAATTACAACATGAACGAAAACAAGTAAGAAGTGAGACTAGAGAAAGATGTGGACAATGCATCGTTCTGAGTGAAGGATTTCCCTTTGGACACTGGGTGGAAATCAGGGAATTCTATGCAGTTGCAGCCTTTAGTGGGAGCCTCTGCAGTAACACTATGTACAAAGCAAAAGCTTCAACTTGGAAATGTGAAGTTATTATTGTTTTATGATGCATAATTTTTATCTAGATTCTCATGTATTTCCACGGGGCTGAATTCTTTGTATAATAAATGCACCAGAAAGACAAGCAAACCTCAAGTCTATCCCAAGGACACAACAGACACAGTTCACAAAGCATCCTCATGCTCAGATGCCACATGTGGGTCTCCGCAGCATCAAATGCTTCCCAGGCTCTAACATGAGAAGCTGGATGGGTGATGTTCATCCTTGACATAAGAGCATCCAATAGACCACCCTCAAAAAAAAATCCCGGCCGGGTGGTGGTGGCGCACGCCTTTAATCCCAGCACTTGGGAGGCAGAGGCAGGCAGATCTCTGTGAGTTCGAGGCCAGCCTGGTCTAGAAGAGCTAGTTCCAGGACAGGAACCAAAAAAGCTACGGAGAAACCCTGTCTCGANAACCCAAAACCAAAAAACAAACAAACAAACAAACAAACAAAAAAAACAACCAAAAACCCGAAGTCTGCTAAATGGAGAAAATCTTGACTAGCATTAAACTCACCCTGTGTACCAGACTGGCCTTGAACTCCCCAAAAATCTACCAATCTCTGTTTCTCAAGTGCTGGGATTATAGATATGTATCACCAAAGCTAGCATATTTATTAAATATATGTTAAAAAAAAGGCTATTCACACATAAGCTTTTCTTAATAATGCAATCAAACAATTAGGCTATGCCTTTTAAAGTTTAGCATTTCCATTTTTTTGCATGAGAGTGTACAAATTATATAACAGATTCTGCACTCTATGGTTGTTTCACAATAACTCTTAAGTAATGTGTAAGGGAAGCTCAAATGAAGAAATCAAGAGACAGGAAGCCATCTGAGTAGTAGGGCAGAATGTAGATTTTGTTGGTGTCCTTTTGTTCCCAAGCCTTACGTGCTGTGACTGTCTAACCTTAGGCAGGAACAAAAGACTCTTATCGCACTTTCTAATATCTGGAGGGAGCCATGTGGGCTCTAGAGCACCAATCCTCGGAGTGGAGGGATGATTTGGAAGAGTAATGTTTAGTCCTCTTAGGCTGTTAGAATCTTGGAACAATCTTGAAAAGAACGAGACACACACAGGGAGGTAATGAAGAGGGTATGTGCATGGAAACATGGGATCCATTTCCACATTTTACATTACTGAGAACAGTGAACTTGTTTGTGACGTGGATAGTCTGTCAAGAGAAAGTTATACCTTACATAAAAAAAAAAGTACAGTGTAAATCTGGACTGGCTATGCTTACTATCTACAGTTATTCGGAGATTTTATTGTAAGTTAACATTACACAAGCATGAAGTACATTAGTGAACGGAGATAAAAGAGCTCTGATGGACAGAATAAGAGCAGAATTAAAGATTAATTGTTTTTCCCAAGTGAGTTCTCTCCGGCTTGCCCTCTCTCCGTTATTGCTTAGAGGACTGGAATGCGTTCTATGTTTATAACTCAATGATTCACATACAGGCGGCACTGCAGCGCCACATCAAATAGCAACAATCATTTGTTGTAATTGGAGAAAAATGTGTTTGTGCAGAAGGAACCTAACAACCAGGGCTTTGGTGCATTCTTCTTGTAATCCTTAAGTCAGCAGTGCAGTGGGAGCAGATCGAAAGCTCACCATCTACCGGGCCCCACTGCTTGTTTCTCTCTTAAAAACTATGTTGTCATGTCCTAGTTAACCGAGCTCAACTGACTGCTTTAAGAGAAGGACGATGGTTTCTCATCTAGTGCAGTGGGAGCTCTCTTGCTCTTTAACGCTAAGGCAACGGCACAGCTACACACATGTCTGCTGGGCTGGAGCGTGCTCTCGCTATTCAAATTTGGGTTAGTGTGGCTCGCACTAGTAATGATTTCCATTTTGTGATGTTCTTTTCACATTCCTGAAGGTGAAGTCAAGTGTCACGTTTTCTTTTGCAGATTGAATCTGGTGTTGGAGTCTTAAGAAATTACTTGACAAACTCCGACATCCGTGAGATGATGTTTTACTTGAAAATAAATTAAAAAAAAAAAAGCAGAAGAGTCGGTGGGATAAAATGGACTCAAAAGGAGGAAGATGACTACTTCTTATCTTATGCCAATTGCTTCTCTTTCCCCTTTAAAGTCAAAGTCAAACACATCTAATTTGGATTGGCCAAAAATCGCGAGACTCTGAGACTTCAGTGTGTGGCCAGTGTGTCTCTGGACTTACGCTGCTCTGCAGTAGAAACACAGGTCCCAGATCCCCCTGCAGTCCAGGGGTGACTGTCATCTTTCCCTCAGCTTCCTGGATAGACAATACAATGCATAGCTAGCTGTCATATACAGGCCTGAAAAATTGCGCGCAGCGCGTATATAAATCCCAGACCAGGCATTACACAACCGGAGTTTAAAGTGTCACGTGTAAATCATCCCGAGTTAAGCTGCTGAGGAAACACAAACCATTCTCTAAGGACATATGAGACCAGGACTTCAGAAGATGCTGCCTCACTGTGGGATGGCAGAAAACATCGGCTCGCAGACCACCCTGGTGTGCAGTAATCAACAATGCAGTGGCCCACTTTATAAAGGCGTCAGACAGTCTGTAAGCAAAAAGGCAGGGCCTCCAGCTGAGCCGGGCCCTGCTAATAAGTGGCTTGAAGTAAAAAAAAAGAAGAGAGAGAGGCAGCTTTAAGCATATGCAACAGGTCGCATCACGGTCTTCTTTCCTCCCTTTGCCAGCGACCATCTTTCATGGGGAACAACTCCATCGAGAACCTGTCCCCGCCACCAGGAGACCCCAGTGCACCAGTATTCTTACCTGGCTTGGCTCACAGCCCTCAATACCTCGCCCGTTCCCATGCTGGGCTCTGAATCCTTTGAGAGCAGCACCAGGGACTGTTTGTCTTATTGTGTCTCCTCTCCTTAAATGATTTCTTAAGAAGTTCTTCAAAGCGTACTTATTACAAGTCGCTGAGTTCCAGCCCTGATCGTAGTTCCCTCAGAGGCTCTGGACAGGCTGTTTTTGCTTGAGGTTCCTCACTAATAAACGGGAACAATGGAGCTCTATAAAAATTTTTTTTTTTTTCAAAAACTTTAGCACAGGAGATTTGGTATTTGAAAATAAATGCTGGGGATGTAGTGTAGCCGAATGGTGGTGAACTTGACCAGCACACGTGAGGCCCTGGATTTAATTCACAGGATGAGAGAGAGAGAGAGAGAGAGAGAGAGAGAGAGAGAGAGAGAGAATATGAGAATTCTTTTCAGAGAGCACATTCTGTGTCTCTATCAGGTATAGGTTTTCGTACTTGTTGCACTAAAAACTGAGTTTTCTGAATAACTATTGCTTAATATGCAACAGTAGTGTTAAATTAAATTTGACTTAATTTTTCAGACTTTTTTTTAGCTGCATGCTGAAAAATCATTTGAAAGAATCACATGCACTTGTGTAATTTGTAAAACACAGACAAAAGGGCCAAAGCAGTTACTCCAGAAAGTATGAAGACATTTCAGTCTTCTTTACACTTCTGATGCTACATCAGCAAAAGACCTCAGCGCAGGCCCTACCTGCTGGGCTAAGTACAGAGCCGCAAGCACATTTTATCAACAAGGCAACTTGTACAAACGGGCTCCACAAACAGAAAACAGCCATGTTGAAGGAAGTGTAATTAATTAATTCAAGCTTAAGATAAGATCACTGGATCCTGCTGACCCTACATGTTAATCAGCTGATTGATTAATTGCTACAATCATAATAATTATATGGTACCAATCTAAGTATACTTAATGATAGTGTAGACCTAGAGTTAAAAGTGCTTTTCAATCTGCGGATCTTTTCACTTTCTTGAATCAAACGAGTTGGTCACAGTTCCTTGAAATGGTGTCTTTTAGCTTGTCGAGCTGGAAAACTTCTCTCAAAATTAGCCAAGGATCAATTTTCTCAGTCCTATTGGGCATTTTTGGCTACTCCCTAATGTTCTAATAATAATTAAAACTACACACCAGTGAAAGAGGAATGTTCCATTATACACCCCCATCAAACCACGAGAACCTCCTGCAGATGTCCTTAGTTCATGAAGAGCTGGAGTTACTGCAGAGCAGAGGAGGCCTTCAGCATGTGGCTCTCCATGCTGGGCTTTTAACATGTGACTGGTGGATGGAGTTGTCATGGAGACACAAGATTCGCATCTGTGCTGCAGTGAGGGTGCAGTTTGTTTATATTTTCATACTCAGACACTTAAGGACAGAGTCTCACATAGCTCTAAAGTGCATAGCTATTATTTATGGACAAATTCATTTTTAGGCTTTCCTACCTCATGACAAAACACTGCTTTGCCATGAAGGTATAGTTTCATATATCACAGTATCATCAATTTTTCCAAAACCATTGTTTATATAACATTTGACTGCTGATTGCCCAACACCCTCATAGCTACAAAACTTCCATTGGGTGATGCTGGAGCCACTCTTTGTAGAGAAAGAAGACACTGAGCTGAGAATGATGATTTTAGTGGCTAATACTGAGCTCAGGACACACCCAGTCTGACACTTGAATGTATAGGACATGGCCTCAGACACAAGATGTTGGCCCTGGCTCTTGCCTGCCCTTTTCTTCCCTTCCTACATTCACCAACAAAGAAAGTCATAAATCCCGGAATTCCCCTTACTCATATTGTCTTTCCTAAAGCCAACCCCCAAACTTAGAATGAATCTGCCTCTTCTTCCTTCTCACTTAGAGAACCCTCATGTTCTGTCTGTCAGTCTCTCTACCAGGAGACAGAGAAGGATTTGACCCAATAACCTGTTAACATGAGGTCCTAACTCGAGCCACAGCACCATGTGGCTGTCCAGTTCTTACTGAAGAAGCATAAAGGAAAGCAATTCTCCCTCAGATTGTGTCATCATTTTGAAGGCTCAAATGTCTCATTTAATTTTGATGAAATAAATGTGTTCTGTTTTTAACATGTCAATATTTATCTTTTATTTAGGGGTGCTTATCACTGAGTATCTTGTTCCAGATTATATTCTGAGCACATACACACATTTGACAACTGTTTCAGAAAGTTGTGTATGAATCCTATAAAGCAAATGCATGGATAGACCACAGAGCAATAAAGTCATTTGGGTGATGGGTGATAATGGTTGTCAACTTGACGAAATTTAAAATCAGCATGGGATCAAAACTTGGGGCATGTCTGTGAGGAATTTCTAGATTGGTTTTGGATTTGAGGTTGAAATATTCAATCTGAATGCAAGTGGACTGTGGTCCTAGTCCACATAAGGAGAAAACAAGATGAATACATTCATCTCCCTGCTCCTGACGGCAGGTGCAGTGGGACCAGTCTCTTCAGGCTCCTAAAGTCATGATCTTCTGTTGAAATAGGAGCGGCCAGGCTGCGTCCCCCGGCACCCGGCCGCCCGCATGGCTAGCTTATGCCCGAAATAATTACACGGAAACTGTATTCTTTCAAACACTGCCTGGCCCAGCTAGTTCCAGCTTCTTATTGGCTAGCTCTTACATATTGTTCTAACCCATTTCTATTATTCTGTGTAGCCCACGAGCTGGCTTACCAGGGAGGATCTTAACCTGAGTCTGTCTGGAGCGGGAGAATCATGGCGACTCCCTCACTAAGCTTCTTTTTCCCAGCATTCTCTTCTGTCTACTCCGCCTACCTAATTTTCTGTCCTATGAGGGCCAAGGCAGTTTCTTTATTATTACAAGACCCACCTCCATCATTCTTCCATTATGATGGTCTATACCCGTGAACTGTGAGTCCAGGTAACTCTTTTCTTTTATCAGCGATTTTCTCCCTATGGTGTGCAAAGTACCTATGCTTAAGTCATCTTTGGATGATAACCAAAGAGAGTGCCTTCTGGGCTTTTGCGTTTCCTTTACCTTATTAAACCATTCTCTCAGTTACCATTAAGATTATTTTCTCTAAAGCGCAGTTTTCCATTTTTGACCACTTTCCTCAAAAATCTGTAACGAGATTTTTATTGTATGTTAGATACGATTTAAACCATATATACAATTAAAGTCTCTGTAACTGGCTAGTTAATTTGTTGGTCAAATATTTGCCTTTCCTATGGAAAGTCCTCTGCTAGGCAATGAGATGGAGAATCTAACTAGATAATTACAGGGTGTGCCTACTTCGAATTTATAATGTTAGATTCACGATATCTGCTCTCTCTCATCTCCTACTATTTATCTCTTTGGTTCATCCAACCCAGATAGCTCACTTTCCCCTCAATGGTATTTGCCGTAGGGCGGGGTCTCATGCTCATTCTCTGGCTGATGTATCGCGTGGCACACACCCCGCCGCCTCCTTTAGGAAGTAAGCCCTGCTCTATCATATGTCTCTGCTCTGGAGTATTTATTGTCTTGGTTGCCCACTGTCCAGCTGGATCACATTAAGTCATTATCTGCTCAGTCAGGGACTGGACCTCTCACTTTTCAGTACTTTCCTCAAAGTCCACATACCTTGGCTTGGAGCAAGATGTTGTGGCATCCATCAATATTAGAAGGAAGAGTTTCACTCTTCCCTGGGTCGATTCATCAAGAAAAAGGGAGAAAACAAATGACTTCCCGAGCTAACTGCACAATACAACCACCCACCAGTTACCTCATTGTTTTATAGTAAAAATTCTTACGCTTTATTTCAAGTGTAATAAACAATAACAACAACAAGAGCTATCATTTTAGGTCCAGAAATCTGTTTTTACAGAAGTGATTAAATTAAAACCACATTGGAAGCTCCTAGTATAACGGGTTACTCCTCACACTGAATACTTTTTATTACATGTTCTTAGTATTCCTTGAATATTATTCTTACTTCAGAAATGTACAGATTATATCAAAGCAAAAAGAGAAGAAAAAATCCTCAAGGCTTATATAATCATTCATAGGTAAAGGGTAATATTCTGAAGCAAATTTGCATTGCGTTTTCTATTCATGTGAACATTCATATCCACACTTAAGAACATATTCGCACTTGCTACGATTTGAATATGTACTTCGAAGTTCATGTGTTAGCACAGAATCCCCAGTGTAGGGTTGACAGGCAGGGCTTTTGAAGAAGTGATTAGGAGAGGAGCGCTCTGCCCTCATGGAGGAATGAATGCCATTAATTGGATATGGGGTGCATTTCCTCTACCATGTCTTCCCTTCTCCTCTTCTGTCTCCCCACTTCTTTCTTCTGCTGTCCAGTTTTCTCCCTCCCATGTGCACATATTGTGACCTTCCTCACCCGACTTTAGGTCCTACAGCAGGATGCCCTTCTGAAGGACATTTGACTTTAAACCTCTCAGCAGTCATCACTTATAACCCTTAGGTTACTCAGTCTCTGCTGTTTGTTAGGGGGATAGTGCTACGATGCTACATTAAGTTTATACTTTCTCTTAATATCTAGGAGGATTTTTGACTTGCCATGTAATGTTTTAATAGAACAATGTAACTATTGTTACATGAATGGGCCCTGGTTTAGGCTTCCCTAGGGTTTCTTTACATTGTTGCTCCTTTGTTTGTTGTTGCTCTCATGTTGGGGATCAGATCCTGGGTCTGCACATCTTAGACAACCATTCAAATAATTAACTACACACCTCTCTAACTTCACATGCATGCATTCTATACTTTTGCTGTTAGAAATGATACTTCAAGGGATCTGTTTGGACACATTCTTCTGTCCCTTTAAAAACATTCCCTAAGCTATTTCTTAGATGTGCACTTGACATTAAAATGTCATATACATTTTAAGGCTTTTCCTAGACACATATACATGCACGCTCACACACACACACACACACACACACACACACACACA